GAACCCAGGGCCTCAGGCATGCAAGGCAAGCGCTCTACCACTGAGTCACCCTCCTGCCCCAGCCTTTAGTTTTTAAATAATCATTAGCTGGTAAGTAGAGAATGGTTAGAGATATATGTATATATAGTTAAAAGTTGTGAGAATATGGGTCTATAGTAAAGTCACTTGCCTACTATGTATGAGGTCCTGGATTCTACTCCCACACATACAAATACAAAATTCAAAAAAAGGGCATAAGGGGCTGGGCAGGTAGAGCACTTGCCTTACATGCATGAGGCCCTGGGTTCGATTCAGCACCACATAAGCAAAAAGAAAAAAAGCCGGAAGTGGTGCTGTGGCTCAAGTGGTGAGTGCTAGCCCTGAGGTGAAGAGCTGAGGGACAGCGCCCAGGCCCAGAGTTCAGGCCCCACTACTGGAACAAAAAAAAAAAAAAGGGCATAATCACTGTATGTGTGTACTGAGGCTTGAATTTAGTGCCTGGGTGGCTGGTACACTACCACTTGATCCATTGCTCTACTTCCAGCATTTTGCTTGTAATCGGAGATAAGAGTCTCATGTACTTAACTGCCTAGGTTGGCTTCAAACCACAATTTTCATGCTCCTGAGTAGGTAGGATTAAAGGCCTGAACCACCAGTACCTGGCTATGGTGTTACTAATATTGGTGTAGAAATGTAGATGTATTTAATAACAAGCACTTTAGAATTGACAGGACTTTACATTAAATTGAGACAAAGAAGTGGGAAATGTGAAGATAGTGTTAATATCTTGGGAGAAGTCAGCTCATGCCTATAATTCTAATTACTTTGGATTGCAATTCAAAACCAGCTTAGGCAGGAAAGTTTTTCAGACTCTTATTTTTAGTTAATCACCAAAAAACTGGAAGTGGAGTTGTGACTTAAGTGGTAGAGCACTAGCCTTGAACAAGCAAAAAGCTTAAGAACAGTGCCTAGACCCTGAGATCAAGCCCTAGTACTGGCACAAAACTGAATGAATAGTTATAGAGGAAAGATGATTTGATATATTAGGTATTAGAATAATAAACAGGGATATTTAATAGGTCTTTTTAAAATTTTTGTTTATTTTTGCCAGTCCTGGGGCTTGGACTCGGCCTGGGCACTGTTCCTGAGCTTCTTTTGCTCAAAGTTAGCACTCTACCACTTGAGACATAGTGCCACTTCTGGCCTTTTCTGTTTATGTGGTACTGAGGAATCAAATTTGGGGCTTCATACATGCTAGGGAAGCACTGTACCACTAAGTCACATTCCCAGCCTGGACAGGTCCTTATAATAATCTAAATAGGAAATAATGTATTTGACATATAATATTTAAAACAGAATGGGTAAAATCAGCTTGAGTGGAAAAGATGACCTCCAATTTGGGTTTTAATAAGTTCAGATTAATCAAGATAGAAATCAGCCAAGGAGCCCGAGGAGATGGATCAGGAAAAATATGTAGTGAGTGGACTAGATAGAAAGATGTAAAGGTGGTTATAGTGTTTACTATGTTCCAATCTACTTGGAGTAGTGGAAAGGTTGGCTCAGTACCTACTCTACACCTACCTACTTTTTTTCTCCCCTTTCAGGTCTTTTTTATTCTATATTAGTAGAGTCTCCTTTTGCTTCTTCAACAGGGCTCATTACTTCCACTATATACTGTTACAATTATTTGTTATCGTGTATATGTTTCCATGAAGTTATCTTTATCTAATTTGGACCCTGTGTGGTATAAGCTTCTGGCATGTCTTATATCAGAAACACCTAGCTAAATAATTTTTTTTGGGGGGGGG